ATATCAAAACTGCAAGACTAAACATTACACAGAAAACTTAAGTTTGAGCAATGCAAACTGAAAACAAAAAAATATCTTCTGATCTGAGATTTACTTTCACGTGTTTTAGTTATATTTGTTGAATCAGTTTCTCTTTTCCGGAGTTCAACTAAAATTATTTTTTTTAGCTTAAATTTGTTTCATTAAAGGGGCATTAGCTGTCAAATTCATGTTCACCGATTAGACTCAAATTCTTATATTTGATGTATAACATACTTCAACGTATTTCCAAATTACAAAAAAATCTAAAATAAACAATTAAAAAATGTATTGACTCAATAATATATATATCAGCATTTCGTGTGTATTTTAGTCTAGACGCCATCTAATAAACCATCGAGATTACCTTCGAAGACTGCCGACGGTTCTTAAATCCGCTATAGGCATACATTTCACTATAAAAAGATAGCGACCAAATGCAGTTGGATTTTTCTGGGTCTGTTTAATTTCATATTATAGACTAAAACAATATATTAATCATCGTTTTTACCTGTATAAGAATGATTTTTGTGGGATCAAATCAGTCAACGAAATGGTTCAACCTTGTTTTACTTTCAATGTTGACATTCTTTTCCTTTTAATAGCTAAACACGATTATTACATGCATTACCCATCTAAAGGTTAAAAATAAGAAGAAACAATATTGCTAGTCGGTAAATATCTTGGGAGCTAATTGTATTTTAAAATATGAAAATAACAAAACATTTTCTTAAAACTTTAATTGGCCTGTACATTCTTCATGATCAATTTATTTTCAAAATTCAAGATGCACCAGAGACAGTTGTCCTATCTCCTTCAACAGAAGTATATACAATAACAGAAGGTGGCTCAATAAGCTCTATAACATGTTCGGCTGATTGCTATCCTGTGTGTAACTTTACGTGGACGTATCCAGATAACAGAACACTTCCAAGGTCATATTTCTACGAATATTCTTTAAAGAAGACACATGATGGAGAATACACATGTAGAGCATTCAATGAGATTGGATATAAAGAGAAATCAATTACAGTTATTATAAACTGCAAGTATTGTTTCTAGTAAAACTTAAATTAAAATAAAACTTAAACCGCTGCGTCATTATAACAATTTTGTGTATTCACACTAGTACTACATCTTCTTTTTTATATATCAACTGCTTCACAATTTTCCGATTGGATTTTGTTATAAAGTTGTATGTCCACCAATGCGATAATGAATAAGACACAAATACAATACGATTCAAACGCCGCAATATGGTCTGTGAACAGGGAAACAAATAAGAAAGATATCGTAGGGATATTAAAAAACAAAGTCGAAAACAAACTAGAAATGCCATGGCATAAAATGAAAACGATCCAAAACCAAACAGTATACAAAACACAACATAGAAAATACCAAGCAACAAGAACATCATCAAAATCCAGGGGAGATCAGGTATTCCAAAAGGGTAAGCATATACGGCTGCACGTGTGGCATCCATCGTGTTGCTCATTAAGTACACACCCGATGATAAGTCTAATTCGATAGGTCACATTCGAGGTAAAAAGGACATGATTATGGTAAGGACAATCAGAACATATCCTTCGTCATCTGTGAAACAGATATTCCATTACGGTCAACCAACTCGTGCAGGCGTCTGTGAATATGAATCAAAGGCAATGTTGATATTGGCTGAAATTGAATGATCTGTTGAGAGTTCTTTGACATTTACATGTTTTATGATCTCAAAGCCACAAAACAATTGATCACGAACATTACATGTAAAGAGGACGTTTTTTGAAACTTCTAAACAAAGGAATTATTAGAAACGATACCGTTAAGCATTGTTAATAAATACATTATATGAAGATAAAAGAGTTCTTTGACTTCTACATGTTTTATGATCTTAAAGACACAAAACAGTTGATCACGAGCGTACCTGATGAAGTATATTTTAGGAAAATCCGTTTTATGCCCAAAGAAATAATGTTATCATTATATTATAGTAAGAAATTTTTTTATAGAGAACGAAAAAAACAAAAAGAAATTTTAAAACTACAATTTATATTTACATAAAACAGTAATTTCTACTTCCCGTAAGTTTGATTCCAATATTGCAATGGAACATATTTAACTCGTATTAAAACAACTGCTATTAACTAATCAACTAACAACTAAATATCGTACAAATTAACCACTAAACTAACCATGCTAACAGTTAAAACTAATACTAAAAGAAAACGCTTTTTGAAAACTTCTTAACAAAGGAATGTTTAAATAAGATATTGTTAAGCATTGTTAATAAATACAATATGTAAAGTTATCTGTTAAATATATCAGAAACATCAGAATCAAAAACAACATGTCTTAGTGTTGAATTACAAAATGAAGTTATCTAGCAATATCTGATTTTCTGAATGAATTAACATTTGAAATTTAAAGGTAAAGGTAGAGAAAATGCTTTGTCCAGATGTTCAGATTATTCATATGAGGCAAGCTCTATACAGGATCTTCTAAATAAGAATGCAAAAATTCTATCGTTATCCTTAAATGTCACTTTCCGCTATATAGTCTGATAGATTATTTCCTGTCACTGAATAAGCTAAACTAAGTTTGGTGACTATGTTGCACGCATCTATCCTATTGAACTTGGTGAAAAATGATACAACAGCTACAGTTACATCTGCTCTCATCTCTTGTCTTTCACCTAGAAAGAGATGATTTCAGCTTCCAAATTGTGAACTTTACATTTCTTTCATAATGGATTATATAAGTTGCTACGATATTCTGGAGCTTGTATTTCATATTTGTTTTCCTTAATAGAGGGTTGTTGCACACAAGGGAGTCCCAAGCGGTGATGTTGAAATCATCTCTTCGACAATTTGACAGACACCACCACGATTTGGTTGGATATCTAGTTCACAGGTGACAACGAATATGATCCAATTCTCGTAACCACAATCCCGTCCTCTTTTCTCAAGTATGACCACCTATAGAATAGACTTATCATCGGGTTTGTACTTTACATGAGCTATATGACAGGTGTTACATGTGGTGCAGGATTTACTTACCCTTTATCTCCGATTTTTGTTGGAGTTCGTGTTGTTCGGTCTTTAGTTTTTCATGTTGCGTTCTGTATTATGTGTGTTTTTGGTATTTTTTTCATTTTGTGCCTAAGCGTTGTCAGTTTGATGTCGAGTTAAGTGTTTGAATGTCCCTCTGGTATCTTTTGGCTCTCTTCTGTATCCTTGGCAATAACGTTTGTGTATTGTGCAAATTACATTGTTGAAAGTTGATAAAAAAACATTAACAAAAACTTTTGTATTCGATTAGGGTGACTGGGTTTTGTACGACATTATATAGCCACCAAATATTAGTATTGCCGTATATAATCAATTGTATGCTGATAATTCTTCTTTTCAATGGTTAAAAGTATCTTTTAACAACTGACATACACCAGTAAAATGTAAATTACAACATCATGCAAATAAAAATTCAAAGTTTGTATAATTTTCCTATTCATTTCTAGATGCACCAGATAATGTGCACCTGTCACCAAACAGCACGTCATTTATAGTGGAAGAGAATAAACACGTTTTAATAACGTGTTTGGCCAACTGTAGACCACAATGCGAATATCGGTGGACAGGACAAACTAACTGGTCATCATCAAATAAACAGTTTCTTATAAGATATGTAAAAAGAGCAAATAGTGGTTCTTATAGATGTGCAACAAGAAATGGGGTTGGGTATGAATATTCATCGTATGTACTTGTGACTGTGCATTGTAAGTAATTATCTTAAAAAATTACTTTAAGATATAAAAGATAATGGCATATGTATTAATAAAGATTTTTTTTATAAACGACGTCTGAAATGGTCTGAATTTGGCGACGTATTCGTACGTTACATAAATGAAGTGTTAGTTTTTTTCTCTTTTCGACTTTACTTACAACTGTTAAAGAGAGGCGAAAGATACCAAAGGGACATTCAAACTCGTAAGTGGAAAATAAAATGACAACACCATATGGGTAAAAGAGAAAAACCATCAGACAAACAATAGTTCACATAACACAGCATAAAAAAAACTTTAGACTGAGCAACACGAATAAAATTACTATAAACTTCGTCGTTTATTTTTTTGTAAATAATATTTTCAATTTAAGACATTTATATTTGAAGTTATGCCGATTTAAAAGTTTTAATGAAATTGACAATTAAATACGTGTATGGTATATTTTAGCGAGACCGACAAAAGTCAAATCTGTTGCTGCAAAAAGTACTGGGTCTACCACTGCGTCTATTGCATGGATACCAGATTTGAGTGTGGTACCGAAGTCGAACTTTACACTGCTCTATAAAACAAGGAACGACATATATTTCACTAATATGCCTTTTAAAGAGTATGATGATCAGCTTACTATTTACCTGTTACATGTTAAAAGCCTAATCCCTTCTACAGAATACGTATTCAAAATATCGTCAGAAAATTATTTAGGACGGACTGAATCGAAGCCAGTTCGATGTGTTACCAGAGGTATGAATTTACAATATGTGGAACTATAAATCGTGTTTATACCATTGCAGAGTAACACTTTAGAAGGGTATACATTTAATCTTTTTATATTTACACTTTCAAAAGTTTATAAAGAAGTTCGTATCTGCACAAGCAATAGATTTCGATATTTGGAGTATCTAATTTGTCATGTATTGACATAAAATATCAAAGATTTGATCATATTTATAAATAAACTATATAAAATTCTTCAAAATACTAAGGATAATTTACCCCAGAAATATATTACCCTAGCTGTATTTGGAAAAACCTTTTGGATTTTTTAGTCCTTAATCACGCTAATTTGTGCAACACTGATGAGTCTGTTGTACACGATACACGTATCTGGTGTAAAAAATCATAAGCCTTGTAACTCTGATGACAGTTTTGGGTCATTATTGTTATATCACAAAGGTAATTAATCCCGTTGTTCAAAAATGCTAAAATGGGTATATCAAAATTGAACCCAAAGGATACAGTCTGCATAATTTTATCATTGATTACCGACATAACTGTTCTTATTTAAAATTCAAACGGAAAATACATTTTATTTATGTATCGGGTATGTTTTATTTAAACCTTCTTATAAATGTTGTCTACAATTGTCAGTATAATGACTTCCTATTTACAGCTGAACCGAGTGCTTCCATACGCACTGATCTGGTTGGCGGGATTTCATTAATATTGATAGCTTTATTGATAATCATTATAACGTTGGTTTTAGTCCAGAGTAAGTCATTATTTACAATATTACGCCTTACACTGCCAAACAATGGTTTATCTATCTATCTGCTCTTGAATCTTAATAGTGTCTTATTTTAAAAGAGCACTTATTCTTACATGTCTTAATGCATTTGGAAGGATATTAAAGAAAAGTTATTGTACATTTAATGTTTTTGTTAACCAACTATAACTTGTAAATTTGGGGTGTTCTCTACAGTTAATTGTAAAGGAGAAAACGTTCTTAGCTACTTTATATGACTTTCATATGGTTGGAGTATGTAGGCATAGCACGAGTTGTTTTATACCTTGTCAGTGCACCTCATCTCACAACAATTGGAGGCATGCGATTGAAATTGTATTCAAACCGTCAAATGTGTGTGCTTATAGCTAGACCTGATGTTCAAATCAAAACATGTTTAACCCGACCACATGCTTTATGTCTATCGTTGGGCGCCATTGATACCGGGTTGAAATAGTTAATTAAAAACATAAATGAAAGACAGCCTTGTATAACTTACTATCAATATGGGTTATGTTTTGGCGATCAAACGATTTCTTCATATGTCGATTATAAAACAGATTAAACATACTACTAATTTAAAAACAGTATGTATCCCTTCTTTGATTGGCTGACAAACGATATATACTAAATTGCGGCGTACTATATTGGAAATAATTAACAAATCTGCGTCCTTTAGTCTCGGATTGATAATTGTCTCATAAGAAATCGTACCACATCTTTTTATATCTATTACTTGAGTTATATCGCAAATTGTTAACAAGCAATACATATAATCCATAGCATTCAATAAAAAAATATTGTATTTGAACTAGGGTTTCAATTACTAAAACAACGTTCGGACACTTCAATTGGAGGTTCCAGATGCATTAGTGATGGTACCACAAAAACTGACAGGTAAGAAAGCTCAAGCTGCTACATGTACATGTATGCATCAAATGTTTTCAACAGGTATATTAACCGTAATTGTAAGAACAACTTGTGAAGTATGTTTGCATGGTTAGTTTACACAATTTCTGTGGTTACTGACAATCCTACTCAATTCAAACAGGAGTCCAACGAACCTACAAAGTGCGGAACTGAAACTGACATGCACAACCTTAGTGAGATAAAGAATTTGGTCTACTAAGACCACTCGGCCACAGAGGTCTCATGTGCAATACAACATTGAGCATTACGTTAATAGGATTAAAAGGGACTGATGTTTGTTGTCAATTTAATTGACACAGTGTAGTTTTGCATTTGACTAACTTTAATATTTGATGTGTTAACGTTAAGGAAGTTAATCATTTATGTAATTGTCGTGACGGATCAATTCATCTAAAATGGTTTGATCTACCTTGGTAAGATAACTTACTAATAAAACAAGTTCCAAAGAAAACTGACCACAAATACAAGTGCAGTTACACATATCGTTTAAAAAATGAAAGCAGCGCGTGATAATTTTCTATATTTACCTTCAGCAGGAACGCTCATAGCCGAATATTTAAAAGACACGGAAGTATAAGAACCGAAACTGTTAAAGAGCTATATGACAAAAATATCAAATCTATCCAAGGTGTACTTTGCCTAAGGGAGTTGAAACATTAGTTTCTTTATAATATTAAAATTTATAAACTTACAATTTTAGAAAGATGTGTTATAATTCAGGTTAGTACCACACTACTGACTTCTGAGCAAATGATATCCTCGAGACGGATAGTCAAACAACAATGATATCGACCCAGTGCTTTAAAAAATAAAAACAACACATTACAGATTTCATGCGTCCGAAACGCTTAAGCCTTTAACTATTTTCTACGCTCTTTGCATTAGTTTGGTTGGAAAAACCGTTCTCCTTAATTGAATTTTCTGATCAGAATAACTTTACAATTGTTTCGCTAATATTCACCAATTGCATTCTAGAAAAAGACTGGACGTTAGGTATTTGTGCTTGCTAACAAAGGCTGTCCTTCAAACATTAAAATTACAATTTTAGAAAGACGTTTTCGTAAAGGGTAATATAGATAAACATTTGACTACTGGCAATATTCTTTTAATGTGTTTTTGTAGATCAACAAATATTGAGGAAAGTCTATATGAAATTACAAATCTCCAACTTCTAAATATTGGAAGTTCCAGTGAAGGTATATATAATGTCTAGGTCTTACATTAAGCTGTTAATTAGCAGCACTAGTTATATATGCATTTGGTTTCATGTTTTATGAACTAGTCTATAAAATAAATTGATATTTTATTTATATCGATAAGAACTCCATCTTCAGAAAAGATGTCTTGTCTTTATACGATTTCTTGTTGTCTTGGCTTGTTTAATTTTCATAAAATTTTGACAAAATATTTACTTTGATCCTTTGACAAAAATATAAAAATTTCAAAAAACTTGAACTACACACTTCATTAGAAAAATTATATTGGATATATAGCAGTTTGACAAACACTTATTTTGATCATTGAGAATCTTAATATTTCCTTAACAGTAGAACGAGAGTAAAACGTTCAGTCAGCTGATTTTTCAGAGTTGTCTCCCTGTAGTGTATATACCACCTTAATAAAAACTATTTATTTTTGCGACTTGCACGATTACAAAAACTCCAAAATGTAACTTGTCGTGAGTATGTCAAATTTCTATTAAACACGGTGAAAAAATTGGTAATATACAAGGCTGCAAAAGTCAACCGTAATGGTCTAAACGCGAAACAGCATTCACCAAAATAATTTTGGTTACAGTATCACATGAGTATGTTGCTTTATCTTACAAGAAAGTGTGCCCTCTTTCATATACTTATGTTTAACAAATCGGAGTGTTTAATTATTATTCATATTGATACAATGACAATTTTTTCTAAGTTGAGATTGATTGTTGATTGTTGGTTGCTTAACCTCTAATCTCATTCTGGCCGGACTTGTGCATACTTTTACACCCCCGCACAGCCAAACGGACGCCCCACTTTGGCAAAGGTTTACTACCGGTGGGTAGAAGACCTAAATGGCCATATTTCTATTCCCCAGTTACCCATAAGGTTTTCCGATATTGATAAATATGCAATGTCCAGTAAAGAACTGTTACTACAATTCTTTGTTAGGTATCCGAAAAGACGGGAAGCAACATTTGTATAATAAAATACCACTGATTTGTTTGAATGCAAGATAATTCCTTACAAAACCATACATGTCGTTTCATAATTTATTGCTTCACCACTTACTTTAAACTTTCTGAGTTTTTGATTCGTCTTCTATGAAGGTTATTTATCAACCATAAATCTAACTATTGTACATCTTACAATCAATACACTTTTCTGTGTTTATATTGTGATTGAAAATGTTGCGAAAGATTTGGTTATACTATTCAACATACCAATTTGAGATATATGCACTATTTGTCTCCAATCACTCAGTGTTTTACTTATAATTTCTCCTCGTTTGGCCACAGATGTATTCATTTTGTCATGGCCAAAATGAAATCTCCTTTTCCCCGTTTATGACGTCACCAATTTTTTCTTGCCATCAGCAAAACGACAAGACAATTGCCTCTTGTAGAGCAACTCAGATCACCCAAGGTAGTGATGTCGTATTTCTCAGTATTCAAATTCATATGTTGTATTTTGTAGACTGTTGTTTTTCTTTTTGTCGTTATTCTCTGTGTCATGGTGTCTGTTTTATTCGTCTTATTCAACTATTTATAAGACAAAATAGATACTGTTGATAACGTCAGGATTCGTATTGTAAAGATGCAAACCAACATACTAAATAATATTTAAAAGCCGGAATGTTATTACTCAGAAATGGAAGGTTCAAAATAAAGAAAAAAGTAAATCATCTTTTTTGACGTAAAGTCAACCCTTATGATCAAAGTCTAGATAATAGCAAGGAATGAGGCAGTCTTAATTGTATCCTTGGATTCCTTTATTTCAACCCAATCGGGGTAAATGCAGTCAGAATAGACACTAAATATTCAGTGAAAATACATCATCTATAAAGCAGAAAGTACAATTAAAAGATTGAGCCAGCTTCGTGTATTTTTATCTTGGGATGCCTCTGTATGAATTCTGCCTCGTAAGAATGAAGGAACAAGTCGCCAAGCAGAGGCGCAATATTGGTACCAATAAGAATGCCGATTGTCGATTGAACGAAACGTTGACTCCGACATGTTTAAATGTTTCAAAGATGTTGTGAATAAAAAATCTAGCTTTTTGCAGATTATAATTTTAGTAAACTTTGTTTTACTTCATGGTGGCTTTGCCACAATGTATCATGAGGTATGACTTGTCCCTTTCTGAAATCAAGACTTTTGAATCTGCGTTGGTCATTCTGTTTACGATTGGACCGACGGATTTCAAAGAGACAACAAAATACCAACAAAAACCTTCAGAAGTATAAGACAATTATACAACCAAAAGCCTCGTTGAATGGTGAGATCAGTTGGGATAACTAGTGTCACTATTCTTGTTAATTGGCTTCAATATTTCATTATAACAAGACATTTCAAATTTGTTTTTATAACAATTGCACTCTTTTTGCTCGTTGTTTCTTAAAATATTCTGTTCCCAGAATACTTTTATGCTTTGTATGATGCTTTCCAAATATGAAGTTATTACAAAAAGAAAGTCAAAAATAAACTCGATGATAAAATCTTTAAATTTCAATTTGGAAATAACACTTAGGTGTTAAAACAGATTTGAATGTTTCTGTAAAATATGCTCACAAGTTCTTAAAATTTATGTCGATTTAGAGCATGGCATATTCAAAGCGATCGATCTTTTGTTAAAGACTGAATGTTGCCCTACAGGTGTTTATTTGTTATTTTTTTTTTGCCACGGAGCGCCTGTCCTATTGGCAAAACTAATTAAATGAGGGGAAAAAAGAACCCTTTAATCATTTGAATTTTTATTTTGCAGCATCACGCAGTAATAACGAAACAACAAAGGAACTCAGGTACACTACACATTATAATTTGTTAACTTATTGCATACTTTATACGTGATAATTAAATCTTCTTTAATAGAAAAAAAAAACCAACAAATATACATATGGAAGTGGCCTATGGTTTTGTACGTCAGACGCGCGTTTTATCTTTAAAAGACTAATCAGTCACTCTCAAATCAAATCAAGTTAACAGGCCAAATAAAGTTCAGATTGTTTGAGCATTAGTTACCAAAAATTCCAAAACTTCAGGACAGATTAATTGATTATTGTTGCCAGCGTCAAATGCATATGTACGCTGATCATATTTTAAATGAAATCTGAACTTCACAGATGGACTGAATTTATTTATTGTCGTCTTTTGTATACAGTTGTTTGTCTTTTAGTCGTTTTCCCCTTTTTTTAGCCTTTCCTTGTTGGTTCGTTTTAGACTCGAGACTTGTATTTTTCCGTTCGGTTTTCTTCGCCAAAGATACATTATTCTGTCTCCGAGCCATCCAATATAGCTTTAGTTTGATCTTAACACATTTCTCACTTTCGGCCTCCAAAATCAACCATGTGACTATCAAGGTAATAAGATTGAAGGCGTGTATAGTAAAGTTCATATACTAATTCGTAATAGTTATTCCATGAGGACGCGGTGTGTCAGTGTCAGATCATCCCGCTGGCCGGAGTCCGGAGGGTGATCTTACACTGATACACCAAGTCCGAGTGGGATAACTATTTTACATCCTAGCTCTTCTAGACTATATGAAAAAACATTAACGCTTTATGACATCTAGTTCAGAATGCCATACAATAATTATAATATACTTTATATATTACTATATAGTATATACCCTTTATGAACCCCGGATACAATGTTTACATATTCTAAATTAACATTGAATTTGTATCCAGTCGTCTTGGTGAGGGGTATGAATCGTGGCTTCATATGCATAAGGTCTTGAGTTCGATTCCCCGCACAGACACTGGAAATTTAGTGGATTTTTTCTACATACATTTTGAAAGTAAGTCTTTATTCCGCATAAATATATCTAAGTTTTATCGTGTATTCGACATTCTCGCCAAAAATGTTACAGAACAAAAGAAAGCATGCAGAACAAAGGAACTCAAGTTAGGTTGATCACCCCTGCTTGTACAAAGGAGTTGCAATGTAAATGTAATTAGCTGTCAACGCGAAACCATGTGACTATCAAGGTAATAAGATTAAAGGCGTGTTAAGCAATGTTCATATATTAATTAGCTGTCATTGCTTGAATCAATAATTTCAAATACGGAGTAAAATTTTTTATAGGTAGTTTGACTTCTTATTGTCTATATAAAAATTGAAAATCATATTTTTACAACAATATAGACATTTCAGTGAAACGTCAGGTGATAAGTTTTTAAGGACATCTGCAGGCAGAAATTTTACAGAAAAAGAACATGAACATATGCGGTTGACTGCCACAGGTAATTAATTAACCTCCCTTAAAAATCAGAAAACAAACGATCAAGTTGAATAGGAAAATATTAAAACTTAGATCTTAATGTTTAACTTAAGTTAGTGACAATCAATATATATATATACAAATATCTAACTTGCAACTGATAAATAGGAAGTACATTACATGTGCATTGTACAAAAATGTAGAATTAGTGTGTATGAATAAAAGGGAATCGTTGAGGCACGTTTCACATTAAGTAAACAAAAACAAAAACTTTGTGCAGAATTTGTATTTTATTTTTCTGTTCTTTTATATAATAGTTCTAAATGTGAACGCCTACAAATACATTTTTTTTTAGAAAGGCCACAATACCCTGTGTCAATAGATTTGATCAATTGACAAAAATCAAATGAAAATGGTGTGCTTCTGTTTAAAAGAAAGTAAATTTAAGTGCGCAATAACAAAAAGTACAAAATAAAATTTAAAAATATTTTTACAATTGATAATGCATTTATGGTGCTGATAATTCCTTAAAAAAAAGATAAATTGTTGTGTTGGTTATATCATTGTAAATATTATTGTATTTGTGTTTATTATTTATAACGAATATAACTCACTCTTCAGTGGTGTCGGTGGCATTTGTGTAGGGGGATACAAAAGGGTAGTTAATCGACAACCAATCAGAAAAAGCATCAAAATTAAATTATCTTCAGCAAAAAGTTACGTTACTTGAAATGACGGTAAGGACTTAAATGTTTAATATTTAATTTCAGAGATAAGAAGACAAAGGAACAAACTTTTGGTTCAGTATGCTAACATAAATACTAAAAAAAATAAGAAGAACGATCGTGTAGAGAAAAAGGCATTGAAACCGCTCATTATGCCAAAGCCAAAAATGAAGACATGATCAGCCTGTGAAACAATGCTTCTATTCTCTATGAGCAACATTGTTATTTCTTAATATGTACATTTACATCAAATAAGAATCAATCATTGTTATTCAGGTTACTGTTAAGGATACCAATAATGATTATTCGATCACATGAAATAGGAATATATATATATATATATCAGATAGAGAAAAAAACAACATCATATTAAAACATATGCCACAATAACAGTCATATGAATATATAAATGTATAAATTAAAAAGACATCTATCCAAATTTTACACCATTAAAAGTCAAACCACAAGCATACACTATATTGTCAATCTAGTCCAATTGTAAGATGTATGAGGCAGCATCTGCGAACTGAATTGTTGAAACCTTTGACCGTTTATACATTTATATTTCTACGAATTGTAATCTGATATCAAAATAAATGATTTGTACAGTTATATTTTTTTTACAATAAACCATATAATAGCTTATGAAATAAAAAGATGTATATATGTAATCATAAGACTAAATATCATTACCTCCATGTTTTTAAATCTATTAAAAAAAAACATCAAATGCAATTAAATGTGCAATTAATAAAATTTTATTGTTTTTTAAATTCAAAAAAAATTTTGAACTCTTAAACTTCCTTTTCTTCACTAAAGGTCAAATGTATTCTAAAACAACATCCATTAACTTGAAAAGAAAACAACATCTATTTAAGTTACGTTTTAGGCAAACGAAGAATATTTATTTGATAACATGTAGGCATTCCAGGATGACGCCAAACAGATATCACTTATAAATAAGCTTTCGAATGATATCTAATAAAGCCGTATGTTTATAGCTGGGCACATTAAAACCATTAACTAACTTTAAATGCTTGTTTTTAAAAATGTCACCCACCTATAAAGTTCTAAATTGATAAAATATTTTTGCTGGTAGTGAGTGCTTTAACTACGTTAGTTCGTGCTATTGACAATTATCCAGTTTTCAACAAAGAGGATAACAGAGTTAATAAAAAAGAGACTTTGGAACAAACATGTTTATCTTTAGAATATTTTATTGTAACAAATTGTGTATATGTAGATTGATCATTCAATCATGATACACCATTGGCATTTTGCAGCCTGGTTATGTCATATCAGAGAAGCTTACTTTTGGTCAAATAAAATAATACCTTTACTTAGTACCAGAACATATAAAAATTATTCTCTTTGGATTTGTTTCCAAATAGATTTTTTCTCCCATAGGATATTTATTTCTCCAATAGGATATTTATTTCTCCCATAGGATATTTATTTCTCCCATAGGAGATTTCTTTCTCCCATAGGAGATTTTTCTCTCTTATGATTTGCTTTAATCTCCCATAGGATTTTTATTCTCCCTTAGGATTTATTTTTAACCCTTAGGATTTTTTTTTTATCCCACAAGATATTTTTTCTGTAATGAAATCCCTTAGGATTTTTATTAATCCTATCGGATATTTATTATCCCACAGGATTATTTTATTAGACAAATATCCTATAGGATAAAAAATATCCTGTAGGAAATGCTATTATTTCTCCTAAGGGAGAAAATATATCCTGTAGGATATTTTTATTCTCCTAAGGGATTATAAATCCCGTAGGATTTAAATATCCTGTAGGATATTAAAAATATCCTACGGGATTATGACTTTATCCCATAGGATTTCTCAAAATCCTGTAGGAGTTTTTTAAATCCTAAGGGAGAAAATAATATCCTACAGGATTTTGTCACTGTTTTCACTCCAGTTGCCGAACCAGGCGAACCACACCAAAATTTTTTTTGTATTGTGTTACCTATCCCCAGGGGTACATTATTGCTAAATTTGATGATTCTACCGTTAAAAAAAGTGTGCTTCCAATTTGCACACATGAGAAGTGCAAATTAATCGAAGAACATGTTTACTGATCATGAACTTTTAGTGACACCTCTTTGGGGTTAAAAGCAAGAAGTAGATTGTGTTAAAAAACTATAGGGTGAAGTTACATTATACTGATCATGACATGATGTTATATCATTTCTATAAAAGGAAATTTGATTTATTAAATAATAGTATACACAATACAATGTATCTTCTATCTAACAGTTTAGAAGTCTCAGTAAATCTATTTTTAGGTACATGCATTTCAATTTATTTTTAGATTCTATTAGCAATTACTCCTAGAGGGGGTATGTGTATTGCTGACCTAATTATAAAAATAACAAGCTGACCTGTCATATGTTTGTTATAAACGGCTATTATTTCACTGAAATCGAAGTATCTACACATATTGTTAATCTGCAACATTTCACATGGAGTATATTAAATCTTTGAACTTTAATGGACATTTAAGATTTTGATTTTGATTGTGAAGACTGTGTTTATGATTTTTATCAGCTGTTTATTATCTAACATTACATTTGACAAACTACAGTATGGGTCCTAAACGAACTCCGTATGATCCGGAACCTTTGGAGAATTGGACTTTGACAAGATTCCGCTCTGAGCTAGATAGAAATAACATTCGTTTCCCATTGACACTCGTAGGATAGCTCTAGTTCGTATAGTTAGAATTCGGGGCCGATGTCTTAGATGTCGGCCATGACAGCATGTACATAGACAAGACACGCCCACTGATTTTAATACGAGTGCGCGATCCCAAGATGAATCAACATCTCCAAAACAATTAAAATATAAACAATGAGGATCGGACTGCTGTTCTCGTTGACTTTCTCCTACTTCTACGACACCGTTGGTAAAGAGTCCGCCAGTCCTTCCAAACACGATTCACACAAGTACATTGTCCCGACAATTCCTAATTCAACAGCACTTACGGCAACTCATAGTTCATCCACAAATTACACAATTGGGACAGCACTTCAAAGCCAACACACATTTAGTCTTAGATGCACGATTTTTTTTATTAGTTGTTAGTGGCTTTGAACTAGTGTCAGTAACTGCGAGTACTCTCAGATCTGTACTTAGTGTCTTTTTGTTGTATGGATGTACAAGTACCCGGCCACGTCCACTTTATTTGTAGTATTTGTATTTTAATCGATCTGATGAGTTAAGCCTCTTTCAACTGATTTTTATAGTTCGTTCTTATGTTGTACTGTTACACCACTGTCCCAGGTTAGGGGAGGGTTGGGATCCCGCTAACATGTTTAACCCCGCCACATTCTGTATGTATGTGCCTGTCCCAAGTCTGGAGCCTGTAATTCAGTGGTTGTCGTTTGTTTATGTGTTACATATTTGCTTTTCGTTCATTTTTTGTACATAAATTAGGCCGTTAGTTTTCTCGTTTGAATTGTTTTACATTGTAATTTCGGGGCCTTTTATAGCTGACTGTGCGGTATGGACTTTGCTCGTTGTTGAAGGCCGTACGGTGACCTATAGTTGTTAATTTCTGTGTCATTTGGTCTCTTGTGGAGAGTTGTCTCATTGGCAATCATACCACATCTTCTTTTTTATATACACATCGTCTGTAAATAGCAGGGTTTACCATACTGCTGCTGCAGGGAGTGAAGAGTCAGCACGGGGATTCGAGGGCAAACAGGAGAGGATACGTTCGCACCACTTACTGGTATGCAGCTGAATCTCTTCCATTGGGGGAAACTTTGCCTTTATAATTCGAGGGAATCATACTCCCCCTATTCAATAATACATAAAATAGGTTAATTCCTGCAGGGATCTCCCCAGGAACAATTGTGTATTTTAATGTATTATTTTTTCTCGGCAAGGATCTCCCCGGAGTCTCGTAGGCCTGCTGTCATCTTCCCCTGGTCGTTTATTCTCTTTAGTCAATATAGCTTTACACCTGCCGGGATCTCCCCGGGTGGACATTTCATAAAGTATACAGTGAGCTGTAGGGATATCCCCAGCAGTAGGTTAATTCCTGCCGGGATCTCCCAAGGAACAATTTTGTATTTTAATGTATTATTTTTACTCAGCTGGGATCACCCCGGAGTTACGTAGGCCTGCTGGGTTCTCCCCAGGTCGTTTATTCTCTTTAGTCTATATAGCTTTACACCTACAGGGATCTCCCCAGGAGAACATAAATTCATACAGTATAAAGTTATCTGCAGAGATTTCTCCACCAGTAGGTTAATTCCTGCCGGGATCTCGCCAGGAACAATTATGTATATTAATGAATGATTTTTTATTCCGCTGGGATCTCCCCGGAGTTTCGTAGGCCTGCTTGGATCTCCCCATGTGGTTTATTCTCTTTAGTCTATATAGCTTTACACCTGCCGGGATCTCCCAAGGTGAACATTTCTTACAGTATTAAGTTGTCTGCAGGGATCTCCCCAGCAGTAGGTCAATTCCTGCCGGGATCTCCGGAAGATAAATTATATATTTTAATGTATTATTTTTACTTTGCTGGGATCTCCCCCGGAGTCTCGTATGCCTGCTTGGATCTCCCCAGGTTGTTTATTCTCTTTAGTCTATATTGCATTACACCTGCCGGGATCTCCCTAGGTGACCATTTCATACAGTATAAGTTAGCTGCAGGGATCTCCCTAGCAGTAGGTTAATTCCTGCCGGGATCTCCCCAGGAAGAATTATACGTATATTAATGTATTATTTTTTACTCCGCTGGGATTTCCCCGGAGTTTGCAGGCCTGCTGGGATCTCCCCAGGTCGTTTATTCTCTTTATTCTATATAGCATTACACCTGCCTGGATCTCCCCAGGTGAAAATTTCATGTAGTAAACAGTTACCTGCAGGGATCTCCCCATCAGTAGGTTAATTCCTGCCGGGATTTCCCCAGGAACAATTATGTATTTTAATGTATTTTTTTTACTTTGCTGGGATCTCCCCCGGAGTCTCGTATGCCTGCTTGGTTCTCCCCAGGTTGTTTATTCTCTTTAGTCTATATAGCATTACACCTGCCGGGATCTCCCTAGGTGACCATTTCATACAGTATAAGTTAGCTGCAGGGATCTCCCCAGCAGTAGGTTAATTCCTGCCGGGATCTCCCCAGGAAGAATTACGTATATTAATGTATTATTTTTTACTCCGCTGGGATTTCCCCGGAGTTTCGTAGGCCTGCTGGGATCTCCCCAGGTCGTTTATTCTCTTTATTCTATATTGCTTTACACCTGCCTGGATCTCCCCAGGTGAAAATTTCATGTAGTATACAGTTACCTGCAGTGATCTCCCCATCAGTAGGTTAATTCCTGCCGGGATTTCCCGAGGAACAATTATGTATTTTAATGTATTTTTTTTACTTTGCTGGGATCTTCCCGGAGTCTCGTAGGCCTGCTGGGATCTCCCCAGGTCGTTTATTCGCTTACGTTCATATAGCTTTACACCTACAGGGATCTCCCAAGGTGATCATTTCATACAATATAAAGTTAGCTGCAGAGATCTCCCAAGCAGTAGTTTAATTCCTGCCAGGATCTCACCTGGAACAATTATGTATTTAAAGTATTATTTTTACTCCGCTAGAATCGATCTCCCCGGAGTTTTGTAGGCCTGCTGGGATCTCTCCAAGTCGTTTATTCTCTTTAGTC